GAGAGAGAGAGAGAGAGAGAGAGAGAGAGAGAGAGAGAGAGAGAGAGAGAGAGAGAGAGAGAGAGAGAGAGAGAGAGAAATCCCTGGTCTTGAATTGAATTTAATCACCTCCGAGCCTGCCCAGTGAGTGCATGACTCCAACAGAACAGACAAGACCGAACTTAGGATGCTGGTCCGGTGATGAGATTCGTTGACAGGGACTGATTTCGTCCTTATGCCTTTTTTTTGGAACTCTGAATGAATCTGCCTGCAACCCCCTGGTTAACGATTGGGTGGGTTGTTTTGTCTGTTGTTGTTGAAGGCACAGCAGCGGTGGTGATGGGAACAGTGAGCTATTTATAGTGCTGCTAAAGCTAAAGTTTAGAGACAATGGGAGTGGAGATGGAGGCGAAGAAGCGAAGGCGCTCAAGACTCGTTGTCGTTGTGGATATCAATCCCATACTCGGAAAAGCAAACTGGGGACAACGATGCCGACAGGTTGTGGGCGTTCAGATGTGTGTGAACAAGATACTGGCCTCCTTTCGAGGTCTGTCTCCTTCTTCCGCAGGTGCAACAGGCTTTCAATGGGGCTTCAAGTTCATAGACACCTCGCTCACGTCCATGGCATCTCAGCGCAGCATTCAGCGCCGTGTTGACACGTGGCGAGCAACTTGTGGCTGGAGCGGTGGTGGTGGTGGTGGTGGTAGTGGTCACTCGCTGAGACCAGATGTCCTGCGGCAGTCCTTCCGTCTGGCAGATGCCTCATCATACGAGGCCTTCTGCTCTGTGCTTGACCTTCTCATTGGGCAGTGCAGTGGGAGCGAGTACGGCAGTAATGACCGGTCAGGTGTGGATGCGCCCTCGTCCTATGTGACACGTGGCAGATCCATTGCGCGCGCGTTGTCTGAGGTAATCAGTGATTTCTCATGGGAGACAGTGGGGTTGGAAGAAGAGAATGAGGAAGGAGATGAGGAAGAAGAAGAGGAATCGGAGGGTGAAGAGGGAGGACGATGGGAGGATGGGGAGGAGGCGGTGACAGGAAGAGCCGGCGACGATAAGGATCAGGATAAGGTGAGACGAAGCTGGCAGGGGGGAGGCTACAACGACTGTGTGTCTAGGTACAATGACTGTGTGTCTAACTCTGTTTTGTCGAATGATGATGACATGGAGGCTGGCTGCACGCAGAGCCATGCAACAGGTGCTGCTGCTAACAAGGGTGGGCAGCGACGAAGACGAAGCGGACAAGGGATATGTTCAGCCGGGAATTACATCGTGCTGTTCAGCGCCGCACCTATTGACACTGTCGACGAAGTGGCATCGTTTGTGGGGATGCCGGCGCAGCAGTATGAGGCTGATTCCCCCTGGAACGAGGTCCAGCGAAGCTTATCCGCCGGTGGGAAATTGGGTCCATCGCTGTTAGACCTCTGCCAAGAGCCATTCACGCCTCTGAAGGGGCAGTTCGATCTCCAACGAGTGCGGCTCTGCTGGGTGGATGTGTTGCAGTCATCGTCAGGGAACAATAGCAGCAGCTTTCCGAGCGTGTGCGACAAACAACGTTTCGCAACGGCGCCATCGACGTCCTACGTGGCAGCACACGTGGCAATTGCTTGCTTACGTGGCAGCGTTATGCCCCTTGACCTCTTGGTAGGAGGGGCATCGATCATACCCTTCTCTACCCTTTTCTTCTCTCTCGCGCGAAAAGGGTGTCCTTGGGAACGACAAGGGGGAAAAAGGGGGGGAGTCCATGATACCGATGTGCAGAACGCTGTGCGGCGGCCACGTGGCCACCGGGGGTGTGTAGATGAAGAAGGGTCAACAACCCTGGTCCTTCTCAGTCTTCCGAACCCCTACATAGCTCTCCCTTCACAAGGGGGGGAGAGAGGGAAGACGGGAGGAACAACGTACTCTCTCTGCTTCTTGGAGCTTGTCCCTTGTCTAAAAATAGCATCATCCAGTCATCGTAGGCGAACTGCTGAGGGAGGTCGGGGGGAATCGCCTCAGCCACAAGCGGATCGGGCCCAGAGCCCTCTGCTCCTCCCATCCACCCCCTCGTCCGCTACGGCGCACGGTGTGGCCGTCATCGATCAGTTGCTGTTGGGATCCCGACTTATCCTGATGAATGTTCGGTGCTTGCTGAGAAGGTCGCTTCTCCTTCCAGCCTGGCTGGTGGCCGACCGACAGTACATCGTTACGAGCACACATGTGAGGCGTGTGAAGGTGGCGCCTGATGACGACGGACACGTGGGAGGCGGCACTCCGGGCTGTTGTGGCCACGTGGGGTGCTGTCCTATCAACGGAGTGACGACGGGGAACAATGACTGCAGGAAAGCGGGGGCGAGGAAAGATGCAGAGAAGGCGGAGCAAAGGTTCCGCAGGTTCCTCCTGTGTCTGAGCAAGAGAATGGCTGTGGCAGTTGTGGACTTTGGGGACGAAAGCGGCGTAGTAATCAGCGGTGTGCTGGAGCCAATCACCCCCTCGGTCGGGATTCTAACGCTCCTGGCCGATGATGTGAGCTTGGACGCAACGAAAGTGATGGAGAGGAAAATGCCTTTTCCTTTGTGCAATAGCGTCGCGGACAAGGAGGAGGGAGGGACTGGGAGAGAGAGGTGCTGCCGCAACCGTCTTCCTCCGGATCCTTTGGCCATGGAGTCGCTGCAGCCTGGTAAACCTGTACTAAATGGAGATGGAAATAATACTCGCCACCACCACCACCACCTTTCTCCCAGCGATGGGGAGAGAGCAGATGGTGCTGGAAGATGTGGAGGAATGGCAGGATTGTGCAGTGTTGACAATGGAAATGGAGGTTGTGGAAATCAGAGGGGCCCCTCTACGAAACGAACATGGGGGACGATGATGGCAGAGGGCGATCTAGGGGAGGAAGGAGGAGAATGGGGAGGTGCCACCACTTTTTCTGGGTGCGGGAGTGATCGCCTGCTGCGAGTTGTGGACCGAGGACTGCCACCTGCCAAGAGAAGGATGAGCGATGGACTGGCCTCTGAGGACAGAGGACAGTGCCCTGCCTCTGTGGGTCTGCTGAGGGAGACGACACCTGCACCAGCGAGGAAAAGTGGCAGAGCCCACAGGTTCCCATTCTGCTGCTCTGGTCCTGAAGATGATCACGATCACGATCACGATCACGGCTTGCTGCACTGCCTTCAGAGAGACAGATGCACAATGCACGTGGAACAGTTTTCCAAAGATCCTGATCGTGTATGGCTCCGGTACGTGTACCTGCCACCCCTGTACTCGGTGAAAGGGGCTGTGGCAGGTTGGGATCGGGAACGCCTGCAGGCTGGTGTAGCAGCAGGAGATCGAGGAGAGAAGCAGGCATTCCCAGATTTGGTGGACGGGCACGCGAAGACAGGAACCAGGGCACTAACTCCCTTGACTTCGCCGAACAACATTCGAGGGGAAGGAAGGTGCGCCTTGGCGTCCTTGACGGCGCAGGGGAGATATGTTGGTGACAGCGGAAGGCAAGCGCAAGCCGGGGGGGGGGTGGATGACAGGGCAGGAGTGCCGAGGGAGGTTTCTCCTAGACAAGAAAACCGAAAAGATGGAGAGAGGAATGGAGGAGGGCACTGCGGCAGAGTGGTGGGTTCTTTGTTGCCCCTAGTAGAGGCCAAGTCTGTGCGTGTTAACGGGGCAAGGACGGGTGTTCCTTCTGCAGGCCTGGGGAGGCAGGTTGTCGGAGGAGCAGTAGAAGGGAATGGAGGAAAAGGGGAGGAAGGAGGAACAGGTAAAAGCGTCAAGGGGAACAAGACCGGCGATGTGGTGGCAAACTCTTACTCTCTGAGTGCACTGTCCAAGAGGGGGAAAGGGGGTACACATCATCTGGAACCGTGGTACCTGCAAAAGTCACGCCTGAATTTGAAGATGAGAAAAGGGGTCAGGTATTGGTTGGGCTTGCATGTGAAAGAGGCCATGAAGAGAGAGGGTGCAGAAAAGAGATCCGATGGTGACGGTGGAGGCAGACATGGTGAAGGTGATCCCGAGACCACGGGCAAGGGGGGAGGGGTGGAACGGAAGACCTGGTTTGCCGGGGACGATGGTGAGGGGGACGAGAGATCGTTCCGACTTGCTGTTGCATCGCAGCTTGTACAGCTCAAGAATGAGTGGGGCCAACAGAAGTGGCAAGGTCAGCACAAGACGGAAAGCCAAGAGAAGAGGGCAAAAGTCGTTGACGATTCGTTGACTGAGAAGGCTGAGGAGATGGGGAGGGAGAGGGAGAGATCAGGGAAGCAGCAGCAGCAGCAGCAGCAGCAAACGGAGTGCGACAAATCCGCTGAGGAGAAAGATGTGTGTCGACGGGGAACAAAGAGCACGAAGGGAGCGGTGGCAGGGGATACGTGGGCGGATTGCAGTGGCTGTGGCAAGGGTGAAGACAGTGGAAGGGGGGACGATCTCAAAGAGGAGATTGCGGTGTTGGTGGAGAGCGTGAATTCTTTTCCTGCCAAAGGGGAGGTAGAGGGTGACGCAGTGGACTTCGCGTCCATGGTTGTTTCCGAGCTCTTGCGCATCATGCCGTTGGTGATGGCAAAGACTGCAAAGGCAAGCAGTCATAATTGTGTTCGGGGAGAGGGAAAAGAAACGGGAGGGAAGCAAGGAGGAGATGGAGGAGGCAGTGTGTTGCATGAGGGAGACGGGACGGAAGAATGTACGGCGCCAAGGAAGGTCCGGCATGTCAGCAAACAGGATGAAGAGGTTGGATTAGGAGAAGACAGAAACCGCTCTGAAAATGGCAATTCGGTTGCAGCTGCAATTGACCGGAGGGCATTGTTGAAGAGGATGGCGCGTATGCTCTTGCTAAAGCCGAAGCAACTTGCGAAGATGTTCAAGTTTGTCAGCTTGCCCCAAGGACGTACAAAGCTTGGCTTACCGACGGCAACCGTGGAAGAGAAACTGAGATCGTATCCATCCCGTGCTTTGATAAAAAAGCTCAATCCTTCAACAAGTGACGACTGACACTGAGCGGAGGTTTATCCTCCTAATCACAACGGAAAGAAGAAAAGAAAATCACCATTGCATTGCGGTTACTTTTCATCCACATGCACAGAGTCCTCGACATGAGCCCCTGTTGGATGCCAAGAGGCTGGTTATAGGTTGAACAGCTAGGCTGTTTTTCCGGCCGCCTGGGCACCCAGCTTGTGCCCAGATACACGCCCGGGTGCCCGGCTGGGCATATAACCCCCGGGCATGGTTCCCGGAAGCCCCGGAGCAAAAAAAAAAAAAAAAGCAAGAAAAAAAACGGGGGAAAGAAATGTTGGGCATGGTTCCAGGCAGCCCCGGAGCAAAAAAAAAAAAAAGCAAGAAAAAAAACGGGGGAAAGAAATGTTGTAGACTTGCAAATCGAACGAATTTGGGCTAAGGCGCACATCAGAATTCCTCACGGAATGGAAGACAAAAAAGAAAATAACAGAGAACTCCTGTAGCGGCAGTGTAGCCCCTTTAAAACCAATTTATACCCCTTTTCTCCCCTTTGACAGCCAACACTCGAAAAAAAAAGAAAAGAGCCCTGATCTGGGCTCCTCTGGGCATGTGTGGAAAACCCCACTGCCCGAAAAAAAAAGCCAAAAAAAAGCACCCCCCCGCCTGGGTACCCCGGGCATCAGATCTTCGGGGCAAGTGCATCAGATCCCCCAGACAACTTGCCCGGAAGCCCGGCCCGGGCTGCGACGGTCTGTTGTAGAGTTTCCCATCTGGTGTGGGTGAGTGATAGTCTGCTTTGATTTTTGTCACAGGTACCTTGAGGGCGGTGGTTGGTGCCCACCTCCTCAGAGGGGTATCAGTTGTCGGGCAGTCGTTGATGCTTAACCACAGCCGGGGTTAAGGTGGATTATCACTTACAGTGTAATCAGTTAGGGGATTCTGCAGACTGTTGAGGGTTCAGCCTCCTGATGAGTCGGTGAAACTCCGACGAAACAGTTTGTCACACAGCCCATCGTTTGTTGTCCTCTTCTCCCTCTCAGCCTACGGTTTACCGTGCAGCTCTGTTTGACTATGTATAGTCAAGAAAGTGGAAAAGCAGATGAGAATGAACATGGGATCGTCGTAAGGAACTTGATGCTTGAACTAAACTCAGTCTGTCCAGCATCATCGGGCTCAGTACGCTAAGATTGAGAAGGACAAAAATGGGGATGCATGCATTCATTCTATTTTCCATCTGCTACGTGAGAGTGCTCAAGGCCAAAGTGAAATGCCTTTTGTGAGAAGAGAGGAGATTGAATAGAGATTGAGCGAGTAACAAGAATGGACAACTGTTATCCAGAAATTGGTTAAACAGCTATATATATGAAGTTAAAAATTAACAAAACCGTAGCCGCTGCCTCTGAGCCTGGCTTTCCCGTGGCAGATTTCTGCTGCTCGCCAATTCCAAACAAACGGACGCAGGACTCTTTTTTCTTCCTTTTTGGCTGGGGCCGCCTGCCAAAACGGCCCACGAGGGCGAGCCCCAGAAGGATGTGCTGGCGGTCAGCTTTGTCGCAAAAGTTCGCCTGGGAGAAGTGAAAAATTATAACTAAGGGAATGCCCAAACCCCAGTCTCCAGCAGCTCACGTGCTCTGGCTCAGTCTGACCCACAGTAAGCAGCCTCCCTCCCCATGCTCAACATGCATGTTTCTCTCTACAGCTGCCAACGGTCAGTGTGTTCTACTGAAGATGAGGTGCAGCACCGCCCCCCCCCCCCCCCCCCCCCCCCCTGCAGAAAAAAAAAAAAAAAAAAGGGGGATGCATTCCCAGCTCTAGTGCTAATCTTCTTCATGGTCATCTATTGCAGCAATACTCACCATCCACTCCTTCAAGCTTGGCATCCTCCTGTCAGTTTTTCACTTGCACAGTGCCAATCTCCCATGCAAACACGAGCACCCTTGGCTATGGCGGCCTTCTTCCTCCTCCATACTGCTGAGCTGTTGGGTGCCAAAGCTGCTAACCCTCCTCAGAGTCTCTACAATGCTGCTTTCATGCCATCCAACTCTGAAGAATGGTTATCCAGCATTTCCTCCATGCATGTGCTCCAAGTGGATCTCAGCTGTTTGGCTAGACGGTAGCGCCTATTGGCAGACCTTCCTAGTAGTTCCTACGCTCTCTGCCTGGGCAGGTAGATAACACGTGTCTATCCCTGGCCTTTAGCCTAGCCCAGGCTAGACATGACTCCTGGGCATCTCACTGGTAATATTGGACGCTGTACGGTCCGTTCCATCTCCGGCGAACATTTTGACATAAGCTGCACTGACATCAGGGGTTGTGGCAGTGGTAGGCAACAGAAGTCAGGAAAGCTGTAGTCCTCTTGTGTGAGGCATCGCAACGCAAGCATTCGTTTTCCTTGCGACCCAGAGGACCGTTCCTTCTCCGGCGAACATTTTGACATAAGCTGCACTGACATTAGGGCTTGTGGCAGATGTAGGCAACAGAAATCAGGAAAGCTGCAGTCCTCTCGTGTGAGGCAATGCAATGCAAGCCTTCGTTTTCCTTGCGACCCAGAGCATTAATTGCGCGTCTGTTACGGTGTATTGGCTTTTGATAGTCGTACATTTGCGCTGCCCGCCACGACTGCCTCAACATCACAGTCCACTGACTCCAGACTCAGGTCAGGTGCATGACAACCTCACACTTGGCTGGAATGGACTTGCAAGCCCTGTATCCTTCTGCAATCTTAAGCTTTGTTCAGAGTCGCAAAGTCCCAGCAGGACTCAAACTCTGCACACTTTTCTGACCGTCAAGTGGAAAATTATGTCAGCAGCAACATGCTCAGGTCACTTTTCACTCAGACCTGATCATACAGCAGGGGAGGATGCAAAATCCTGAGCCAAAGGTGACAACCTCTCTCTCTCTCTCTCTCTCTCTCTCTCTCTCTCTCTCTCTCTCTCTCTCTCTCTCTCTCTCTCT